AAAAATGAAGCAAGTGATTAAGTAGACTACAAGAAAGAGGCAGAACTATCTCTTTGAAATAAATAAGTAAATAAAAGAAACTCTCTTTATAGAGAATTCCCGGCTCTTGTGAAGTTGCTGCACTGTGAACAGTTCCCCTTGTCAGTCGAGGACCGCCGAGTGGGAAAGAATGGCAGCGTGAAAACATTGGGCTTCTCCATACAGTAAAAACCCGCGTGTGAGAAGCTAGTGGTTTAAGAACCTACTGGCAGAAATTTGCCATTTTAATATCCAAAAATATAAGAACCTGTTTACTGTTTAGTCAAGTAAGATCAAGCACGTTCTTATATGTGGGTTACAGCTAAATTATAATAAACAGTTTAGCCAAGGAGCTAGAGTGACTAAGATTGCAAATTTATATAACAAGAAATTACATAATACAATTGTGAATAAATACTGGATATGTGTTTTTTTATTATTATTTTGCTGGTGAGCAACAACTATATCTCCTTCATAGAAATTAAGATCTTGGTCTAAATTGCCAAAATACAAGAATCTATTTTGCCAGACTTCCAAAACTGTAGGTTCTTACACGCGGGTTTTTCTTATACAGTAGGTCGAGACAGATTCTGCTCGGCAACTTTTGAGCAGCTTTAACGATTTTTAGCAACTTTTTCGATTCTGAGCAACTTTACAGCATCTTTTCTAAAAGGTAGCATATTTTGGGCAAATATTCACTATTTCGAAATCACATTCATTAGTAATCGATATTTTAACACGTTTTTGGAAATTCACAGGAATTTCACCAGAAGCTCTCTTACGTTTTGATCGGTACTTTGTGTTGATAGATTCCAAATATGGATATGCCGGATGTGACTCCATTTCCAGAATGGGAAAGTATTAAAATATTCCAAATATTCCAAAGACTACATTGAGGAATCCGTAATGATCAGGTACAATAGTTGCCAGAGAAAGCACTAGGGTGAGTCCAAAGTTATTGCTTGGTCTTCACGAAACTGTAACTGAACTGAAACTACTCTTNCTGAGCAACTTTTCGGACAGTGAGAAACTTTACAGCATCTTTTCTAAAAGGTAGCATATTTTGGGCAAATTTTCACTATTTCGAAATCACATTCATTAGTAATCGATATTTTAACACGTTTTTGGAAATTCACAAGAATTTCACCAGAAGCTCACTTACGTTTTGATCGGTACTTTGTGTTGATAGATTCCAAACATGGATATGCCGGATGTGACTCCATTTCCAGAATGGGAAAGTATTAAAATATTCCAAATATTCCAGAGACTACATTGAGGAATCCGTAATGATCACGTACAATAGTTGCCAGAGAAAGCACTAGGGTGAGTCCAGAGTTATTGCTTGGTCTTCACGAAACTGTAACTGAACTGAAACTACTCTTTTTGTTGTTGTACAGAAACAGAGCCGGCTTGCTGCTCTTCGATTTCAGCAAAGCAGCTATAAAAAATTTTTAAGGCAACTTTTGCGATTTGAAGCAACTTTTGAGCAACTTTT